GTGGGGAGGGGGAGGTGGCAGTATGGGAGACAGTGGCAATGTGGGAGGATGACAGTGGGGAGGGGACAGTGTCAATATTGGACGATGACATTTGGAGGAGGCCATTGACAGTGGGGAGGGGGCAGTGGCAATATGGGAGGGGAAAAAGGGGGGAGGGGGCAGTGGCAGTGTGGGCGGATGACTATGGGAGGGGGGCAGTTGCACTGTGGGAGGGAGGGAGACAGTGGGGAGTGGGGCAGAGGCAGTGTGGGAGGGGGACAGTGTGGAAGGGGACAGTGGCAGTGTGGAAGGGGACAGTGTGGGAGGAGGCCAGTGTGAGAGGCAGTAGTGGCAGTGTGGGAGGGAGACAGTGGGGAGGGGGCAGTGGCCGTGTGGGATGGAGACAGTGGGGAGAATGGTTGTGACAGTGTGGGGGGTGGCAGTGGGGAGGGGGCAATGACAGTGTTGGAGGATGACAGTGGGGAGGGGGAGAATGGCAGTGTGGGAGGTAGACAGTTGGAAGTGGGGCAGTGGCAGTATGGAAGGGAAGGAGACAGTAGGGAGTGGGGCAGTGGCAGTGTGGGAGGGAGACAGTGGGGAGTGGGGCAGTGGCAGTGTAGGAAGGGGCAGTGGCAGTGTGGGAGGGAGACAGTGGGAATGTGACAATGGCAGTATGGGAGTATAAAAGTGGAAAGGGGGGCAGTGAGAGTATGGGAGGGAGACTGTGGGGAGGAGGGCAGGGATGGTGTGAAAGGGAAACAGTGGGGAGAGGACAGTGGCAGTGTGGGAGGATGTCCGTGTGAGGGGCCAGTGGCAGTGTGGGAGGGGGCCAGTGACAGTTGGGAGAGTAAGTGGTAGCCTGGGAAGGGGCAGTAGGGAGGGGGCTGTGGCAATGTGGGAAGAGGCAGTGTGGGAGGGGGACAGTGGTAGTGTAGAAGGGGGCAGTGTGGGAGGGGGCCAGTGGCAGTGTTGTAGGGGGACAGTGTGAGAAGGGGCCAATGACAGTATGGGAGGGAGACAGTGGGGAGTAGGGCAGTGGCAGTGTGGGAGGGAGACAGTGGGGAGGGGGGTAGTGGGAAGTGGGTTGGTGGCAGTGTGGGAGGGAGGAAGTGGGGTGGTGGCAGTGTGGGAGGGAGACAGTGGGGAGGGGGCAGTGGCAGGGTGGGAGGGAGACAGTGGGGAAGGGGCAGTTGCAGTCTGGAGGGGGGCAGTGACATTGCAGAGGGTGCACCAAAAAGAGATCTCTTACCTTTCCCACCATGTGTGCACAGCTCCTGTGTCTCCTGGCTGCGCCCTCCCACGCGATGCTGTCAGTACCAGCCTCTCACTGATCTGCTCTGTGACAAGGAAGAACATGGGAGCAAAGCCGCAGCATGCCAAGAGGGACTGAGAGCTGTGAGGGCTCCTGCATCTTTCTGACTGTATGGAGAAGCAGTGTAAAGCTTCTCCATCCTGTTATTCCGTTCAGGCATAAAGTATGAAGTAAACAAATCCAGGGTAAGTTGGTCTCGGGGTAACCTGGATCAGCTCAGTTCCACCATTACAGACATTTTTTTCTGTACCGCCAGGGGAGCTGAACTGTACTGTACCTGGGGTTACACGTACCAAGGGTTGGGAGCCCCTGTCCTAGTGTAACCTCTTCTTCACGTACCTTTCCTTTTGTCACGAACGCATCCTACTTCAAGAGTGTGTATGACGTAGTTGTGATTGTGAAAGGGTTAACGTTCACTATTTGTCTGCACTAGACCATAAATAAAGACAAAATCCCCCTTTTAACAACACCCACACTTAAACATAATAATGTAACTATTACTATTTTAACTCTGCCACCACCAAGACAATTTTAAAAATGGGGTGCCTTGGTCCTCCAGGTAAATCAATAATAAAACCCACCAACAATACTTAGCACAATATTTAAGGAATGCAAACATACTCATTAGTCTCTTCAGGTAACTTGATTCTTAAGCAGACAAAGGCAGAACTTAATAAATTAATGTTTATTATGGGCAAAAATAGTCAAAGTGCATATAATATATTTATGATAAACAAATTATTTACACCAACAACAGATAAATACAAAAAGGATAAAATACAGAAGTCTTAATTACTCATTAGGACTTTGGTTTTCAAAGTACAACTTCTACCCAAGGGGTCTCTGGCAAGGAAAGATGGTGACTCACTTAGAATTAGATTCTTGGCCCCAGCAAGTACACTAGCACCCTTCAGGATCATTAGACATGACAGTATGGGAGGGAGACAGTGGGGAGTAGGGCAGTGGCAGTGTGGGAGGGAGACAGTGGGGAGGGGGGTAATGGGAAGTGGGTTGGTGGCAGTGTGGGAGGGAGGAAGTGGGGTGGTGGCAGTGTGGGAGGGAGACAGTGTGGTAGATTACCACACCTCACCAAGAGGTGGAGTTAAGGTGTGTCTATGGAGATACTAAGTGACCACCCCCCTTGTGTCC